CGCATGTTGCGTTCCACCAGACGGAACCAGGAAGTGCCATATAAAAGAAGACAAAGCCGGCCGGCGGCATTTTTAAAAAAAGAGAAAACATTGGAAGAGATATTAGAGCCAACTGAGGAAGCCTGTTAATCAGGCGAAACGCGTTTTGGACACTCATTTTCAACTTTTAATAGACTTTTTATTGGACTCTATCTATATCCAATATTTATTGGTATAGTATATTGCCATTTTGTCATTTTGTTTTATAAATAAACAAGCACTATTTTTCAAAGATCCTTGGTATACTGGGCACCTTTATTGAAGACACATTAAGGACCACCAGGAGAAATAACAAGCAACCAACAAAAGAAGGGTTTGGACAACCCCCTAATGGTCCAAGAGAACATACTTTTAGAGTCATATGACGGTATGACTCTATCCTTGTGAGTGCTTTTATTCTCATTTTTTATATGCTATATATTGTATAGATATACTACGCTATTTGCATATATTCTATTTTTCAGATCGTTCAAGATACTCCACAGGAAATATATATAGTCTTTATTGCAAAATATACATCTATGAGACCTAGGATTGTAATCTTATCATATAAGTCACACAAACAGCATACTATGAGATACCATAGCATGAACATATCTAACCAGCAATAAAAGCATTAAGCAATACATTCCCTCAAAGTAAGCAAAGAAATGATAAAGCCAGCTATCACCAGAAGGAGAGATACCCTTCCAGAATGTGCCAGGTAAAGAAGGGTACCAGGGTAGCCAAGAAATAAAAGGGCTCGTAAAGGTTTTAACTGGATAACTAGATCCATTTAGGTCTCTTCTTCCCGTAAAACACGGATCTGAAAAGCATTGTGGGTAAATTAACGTAGCAACTGAATTTAAACTGTTGTCAACATTTGCTAAACATCACGCCCTAATCAGAAAAAAATAGTTCCTTACATTTTGTTATGTATCTAAAAATCCAGATAACATTTCTAAATAAAAATAGGGGAAGTAGATGGGAAAAAAAATTAAGTTACAAAATGTTGGGACAACACTGTACTGTTCTTGGACTAAGATTCCCATAACCCTCAGCTGGATAAACTTAGTCAAACAGCTTGTGTGTTGACTACTGCTCTACGTTTTCGTATACATGACTTTCTCTTTTGAATGAAACCCTGGACTGTGTGGAAAATCTGTGTTCCTTTAAACGAATGCTGTTTTGTCTAACTCCGTCAATCTCGGGCACAGCACTCCATGTGTACGCACATTACACTTACACACACTTTCCAAGACCATAATTCAATGACTCAAGTAAGATGTGATTTCCTTCCTCTGTCAGGTTTCTGATTCTACGGGCGGATCTGAGAATGTAATGCTTTAGCAATTCCAAGTCTTAAACACAGAGCAGCTTTAAATTGAATAATATGTGACTACAAGGAGACTGTGAGAACGCTCGTCAAATTCAACAGACGCATTAGCCACTGGTTAATTCACATCACAATGCTTTTCTAGCATGTAATAATAATTATTATAATAAAAAGAGCTTGACTTGTACAACACAAAACATATTAAAGAGACACTGCTGGCCGTGTCAGTGAAAGCATACATCTCTATGAAAGATTTTAACCAGTTGATACCAAACTTCTCTTTACACTAAATAAAGTCCTCATGCACAAAATGGATGAATGTTGCTTGTGCACTTGCAGTGCCAGCTTAATAAAGAAGTTGGCATATTTAGAGTTAGGGTAATTTTAAGGGTTTGACTGTCTGAGCCAATAGAGAACAACATGTGCATTATACAGTACTGTTTAATTTGTCTCCCATGTTGGAATTAGTGTAGGACCCACCGATATTGCAGTGCTGTGATCTAGTGGTGGGATTAACACGATATGACCATATGATGTAAATCAGAGGTAGTCAACCTTTTAATACCAACTCCCCACTTATGTATCTTTATTGATGGTAAAATGTCCTTACCTCCCACCGGTGCAGCATTAACTTAACCCCTTAAGGACACATGACATGTGTGACATGTCATGATTCCCTTTTATTCCAGAAGTTTGGTCCTTAAGGGGTTAAAGGGACACTATAGTCACCTAAACAACTTTAACTTAATGAAGCAATTTTAGTGTATAGATCATGCCTCTCAGGTTTAACTGCTCAATTCTCTGCTATTTCCGAGTTTAATTACTTTGTTTCTGTTACTTGATTTTGCTATTAAATGATGAAACTTAATGATTTTATTAAAGACACAGAGGCAAGTACTGCATATCCCTTTCTTTACTGTCCACCAACATGGTTTGGGCTGTGATGGCCATGAAGAGAGGAACTCAAATTCTCTATGTCTCTCTGGATAAGTTTGGAAAAGACCTCGACCTTGGGTGTCACACGTGGACAAAAGGCCCTTGTCACACCTACTCTGACTCTGATTGACAGAGTCTGCATGAAAAAAACTGGTTTCCCTTTCAATCAGATATAATTTACCTTAAACAATTGAATCTCTTTCTCTGGAAATTGAACTTTAATCACATACAGGAGGCTCTTGCAGGGTCTAGCAAGCTAGATAGCAGGGGATAAGAAAATCTAAATTAAACAGAACTTGCAATAAAGGAAGGTTAAACTATGAAATGGTATATATATGAAACATAATTTAACCCCTTAAGGACGGCGGGCGTCCTATGCCATCCTAAGGGAACCGGCTCTAAACGCAGGTGGGTGGCATAGCACTCCATGTCAGTGCCAGCAGGGGGAGTGCCTGTAATGACAGGTATTCACCCTGCTGTCTCTTAAAAAAATTAAAATGGTTTAAAACAGTGTAAAATTTAATTATATATGCTTAGATCATATTTATATTTATTATATATATGATCTAAGTATATATGTACAAATATACATACATATACATAAATACACATACACTAAGTGTATTTTAATATTAATATATGTATAACTATCGTGGTATGGGGACTTACATGGGAGCCATAAAACCTGTACATGGAGGGTACTGTTTTACTCAGAAGTCTTCGCTGAACACAAATAATTGTGTTTCAAAACAGTAAAAAGTATCACAGCAATAATATCGTCCGTGTAAGTGCTGTTTGTGCATGAAAAAGGCAAAAAAAGTCACTTTTACTAGCGATATCATCGTTGTAATACACTTTACTGTTTTGAAACACTAATATTTGTGTTCAGCGAAGTCTCCCGAGTAGAACAGTACCCCCCATGTACAGGTTTTATGGTGTCTTGGAAAGTTATAGGGTTAAATATAGTGCTAGCAAATTAAATTCCCTTTACTCTCGGCATGGGTTGTCAGGCAGGTCCCGCTAATTGTAATTAATTAAGATACCTAATTATGTAAAAATATTACATAAATATATATTTAGAATTAATATATGTATATATATACGTATGTGAATCTATATGTGTATATAAGTAACTAAAAAAGAAAAAAGGAGAGCCTAGATATGAATATGAGGCACGAATATTGGTAGAAACAAAATGGGGGGTAACCCCTAAATGGTGAATTTATATGAATACAAAAAAGAAAAGAAAAAAGTGTCTTACTTGTATACTTAGATCATATATATATATACTATATATATATGATCTAAGTATATATATACACATATACATACACACTAATGCACTGTCTAGGTGTATTTTACTATTAATATATATATATATATATATATATATATATAATTATATATATATATATGTATATATATATACATATATATATATATAATTATATATATATATATTAATATCAAATTACACGTAGACTGATACTGATTAAATATATATACAATTATTGTTATATATATATTTATATATAATATAAAAAAATTAAATATGTAAATACGTTAAAAAATAAAATTTAAAAAATAATTTAAAAAAATAATTTAAAAATATATAGATGTGTGTTATTTCGTTCTAACTGTATTGTGATATTAATATATATATATTTATATCAAAATACACGTAGACCGAAATAATACATATATCTATATACATAAATATATACGTATATATCACTAAATAAAAATATTTAAAAAAAATTATATATATATATACACATATATTTTTTTATGAATACAAAAAAGAAAAGAAAAAAAAACTACCATAAAGTGTCTCAACATTTTGGTAAATATAGTCACAATGAAATGGGCATAAAAAATTACTTTTAATGGATATATTAAAATGTAAAATAGAAAAGATAAAAGCAAAACAAAAAGCACAAGGCTAAAAAATAATATGTCCTATAAACTAGTTGGAGTATTAAACCTCCAATAGAACCAATAGCAAGAGAAGTGTTGCTTCAAAGAAATACTTATTGGTGTAAAGTAAAACTACTTGCTATGAACAATGTAACTGAATTCTAAATAGAGAAGTTGGATACTAGTATCTTCAAAACTCTTCCTGCAGAACAGGGTAGGTTGAATATAGATGAAATGCCTCTAGTGCACAAAGGGTTAAACAGCACAACAGTTGGTTGCAATTTGCAATGGTTAAGGACCACTAGTGCCAGGAAAACATACTCCCCCCCTCCGCCCGGCTCTGGAAAGGAAGGGGTTAAAACTTACCTTTTTCAGCTGAAGAATACCCTCTCCTCACTCCGATTCACGCCCTTGTGAATACACCGCAGCAGCGGCAAATTACTGCCTGGCAGCGCCATTCAGCGGTCTCGTGGAAAGGCATTTACAATGCTTTCCTGGGCGCTAAGCATTACTCGCAATAGAAAACGGTAGAAACGCGCCTAGTAGCTGTCAATAGAGACAGCCACTAGAAGAGCTCAAAGGAAAACAACCCATTAATAAACATACTTGATTTCTCACAAACTGCCTGTTTAAAAAATGGGTTAACCCTAGCTGGACCAGGCACCCAGACCACTTCATTAAGCTGAAGTGGTCTGGGTGCCTAGAGTGGTCCTTTAATAGAAAAGAGGCGGGGGATACCTGTAAAATAAAGAGGTATAGGAGACAGTTGCAAGCTAGGTTAGATATAATGGTCAGTAGAAATATAGAGACTATAGGTAATCCTGACGCTTGCTAGCAAGAGAGGTGTAAATACAAAGAGATACTTTAATAGTAAAAAGTTAAGCCACTTTCTATAAACAATGTCATTGAATTCAAGATGGGAGGGTGGGGTATTAGTATCCTCTGAACTCCTCCTGCAAAACAGGGTCTACTGTATATAGATAAAGTACCTCTAATACACAAGAGGTTAAACAGTACACCAATATGGTTGCAATAGTTAATAGAAAAGAGGCAGAGAATACCTGTAAATAGGGAGGTATAGGAGGCAGTAGCAAGCTATTGTACGCCCTCCGGTCTTAAGGGGTTAAGGGTCCCCTTAAGGACCGAGGACGGTTCAGGACCGTCATCGGCATTTTTGCCTTGAGGACCGATGACGGTCCTGAACCGTCCTAACGGTCTGGGGGTACTTACCTGATCGCCGTCGTTCCCCGGCGGCGATCAGTGTTCCTCCGGTTGTGGGGAGACTGCCTGCAGCCCAGACAGTCTCCCCACGGCAGATTAGGACCCCTGTGGCCATGTGATACGGCAACACAGCGATCACGTAGTCTAATAGGTATAATCATGTGTCTGCAGGGGACTGTCTGTGCTGACAGGCAGTCTCCCTGCTAGTGTAAAATCAGAAAATAAAATAAAGTTAATGTTAATTAAAAAAATAATAATAATTATATATGTGTATATATGATATATAGACATATATTATATTTATATAATATATGTCTATATATCATATATATAATGTCATACTAAGTGTACTTTTATATTAATATGTACTTATATTAATATAAAAATACACTTATAATTAAATTACATACGTATATATATAATATATATAATAACTATATATATTGTATATATATATATTATTATAAAATATAAATAATAAGTAATTTAAATTAAATTAATTTTTTTAAATAATAATAAAAATTTTAAAAAAATATATATATGAAATGTTATTCTAACTGTATTTTAAAATTAATATATATATATATTTATATCAAAATACACTTAGAATGAATTTGTATATATATCTATGTATATATAAATAAATAAAAATAATACAAAATATACATATGTCCATATACAAAATTACATAAATAATTATATAAATATACACGTAGACTTCAAATATATAAATATACATATATATTTAAATTCTACGTGCGTATTTATGTAATATTTTTACATAATTCAGTAATTTTATTGATTGCAATTTGAGGG